AAAGAAATTTCCTGGTAGTATTCTAAAAATACTATTTAATATTTATAATATTTTAATAATATTTCTTGAACTTTATTGATTCAAATATTTCTTACCCATTTGTAATCATCTGAGTTTTCAAAATAGTCATCTGATGACTTAAGACCCAGGTTGGGTCAAGTTTCCTCTCTCTTGTTCCTAAGGTCACTATGAGTTGTGGTTGACTTGATGGCACCTAACAAGAACAACACGTTCTTCTCAAAAGAAATATACCCTTGCCCTGAAGCTGAGAAACTTAGTCAGCATTATAAAGCTATGCCAGGGAATTATTGATGAGATGGTGGAGTTTCCATCTTCCATGAGAAATTTCCTATGCTGCTGAGAAGTGGACAATAAATAAGGATGACAGAAGAATTGATGCCTTTGAAATGTGGTGTTGTAGAAGAGTGATGAATATTCCTTGGGCCGACAAAAGAACAAACATATCTTGGAGAAGGTGCAGCCAGAATGCTCCTTGGAGACCAAGACAGCGAAGTTTCATCTCATATACTTTGGGCATGTCAGGAGAAGCAGTTCCTTGGAGAAGGACATCATACTTGAAAAGCTAGAGGGTCTGCAAAGGAGAGGTGAACTGTAAACCAGGTAGATTGACACAGTGACGACAGCAATGGGCTCGAGTGTGTCAGAGATTTTGAGGATGGGACAGGACAGAACAGGGTTCAGTTGTGTTGTTCATAAGGTCACCAGAAGTCATATTCGACTCAAAGGCACCCAACAACCACAAGGTAAAGCCAGAATTCCAGGCAATGAACCTTTGGGCAGCCAATGGAGGCTGTGATGTTGAGCAGGTTTCAGTGGAACTTCCAGAATAAGAAACAGGGGGAAAGGCCTGTTTATGGGGGGGGGAGGAACTATTTTTTTAAGGTCAGCTAGTGAAAACCTTAGTTGGTCCAATTTGCATCCACAATTATTCCTGTGCGGAGCCCAGAACCAGTCAGCATTTGGCTCATTTATACATGGACTCACCATGAGTTGGATCAAGTCTATAGTTAACAGTAAAATGGTACAACATGGTGGAGGTGAGACAAATTCATATGTATTCTGTCCACTGCTGCCAAGCAAACTAACACCAAACTGACTGAAAAAATTCACCAGCCATTGTAGACCAGGGAAACCTTTGACTCTAATATCTACCACATGCAGTTCGTACATATTAATACAAATTGCCTCTTTACCTGGAAAGCCCTTCTTTATTGTATCTATATACTACAGATCACATGTTTCCTTGTTTCCTCCTCAGAGGACACTTCCTGGTTTCCTCTTCACCCAGTTCAAATGAATTCAACTTACGCCATGCCAGACTGAGCTTCACATTTCCAGGAGGAATATTTTATGAAGTTTAGTATATAATTTTTTATGGCATGTATATCTTTATCACTGAATTGTATATCCTTCAAGTTTAGAAGTAGGATTTATAGCTCAGACATGCATATGACTTTCAGAGATCCTAGAAAGAACCTATCTTTGCACGTTTGTGGAATGAACATCCTTCATGTAGTACCAATAATATCTGAAAATTCTCACTCACTCATTGTTTTTAAGTAGGAGCCCACTCATAACTGACCCTCCATTGACTTTCCAAGGGTGTTAATCACACAGGAGGAGATTGTCCTTCTTTCTCTGGCAAAGCTGCTGGTGAATTGAAACTTCCAAAGAGATGAGGTGCTATGTGTTAGCAGCCCAGGTCCCTGTGGCCTATCCCTACAGAGATAGTTCCCTATCTGAAGATTCTCACTCAGTGTCTTCACATTTTAACTGACTTATAACTGACCCTGCATTAAGTTTTTTATATTGTAAATTGCGTGGTAGACACTACTTACCTTTCTCCCAGGAGTCTGATGGATTTGAACCACCAGAAAGAAGCAGCCTTTGAATTAACAGGACAACTCCCTGCAGACTATGCTATCAAGGCTCTCATCTGAAGATTAGGCCATCAAAAATGAGGCACAGTAGGAAAAAAGACTAAGTGAATGAACCTAAGATTTCAGAAGCAAGCGATTCAAGCATGAATCAGTTCATGAACAGTTCAAGATTTCATCCTGATGCAATATTCTGTAAACTAAGGTAGCCTGGAGTGCTCAAAACTCAACCAATTCTTGCCAGAAAACAATTTCCAGTAATTTATCATAGGAAACAAGCCCCCTGTAAAATACATGTTTTATTTTATTGTCATGATAATTATAATTCTCATCTATGCTTTAAGAGGCTTTAAAATATGTACAGTAGTTCCATATGCATGGTGTGAATGGTTCCCTGACAATGCCTTAAGTCAGTCCTCAGTGTGAATTTATGTTTTCAACTCTGTGTAGTCTGACAATCATCTCACCTGTCTTAGCTCCTATGAAATAGCAGGTTAGTCACCCAATAACTATTTAGGGAACACCCACAGGGTACACAGTTCTACCTTCAACTTTCTAAAGCCCAGCCTCCATCTATTGCAACTTTTCTAAACAACATTAAGTCTTTTAGAGATGAACGAGCACAGAATCTTGTTATCCTAAGACGAGTGACTATAACAATAGCATGACTTAGTTTTAATGTGCACAGCATTTCCAGAGGGAATTCTGACTACTGTGCAAATAATAGCTACCATTATCATTATTATTTTAATGAGCAAAGCAGGAAATGGCATGAGCCCTGCTTTTCAAAATGGGACGTGGGGAATTTCTGCGGGAGTTTTCACAATGCCTAAATATTGTCTGGCATGCAGTGGATTGGAGTGAATTAATATAAAGCAAAAATTTAGCAAAGAGAAGAGTAGATGAAGAATGACTAAATAAAAGCCTGAGGAAGTGGGGATGCTATTTCATTAGATCTATTTACCTAATGAATAGGGAGCTGTGGTGACCCAGTGGGTAAAGAGGTAATTCAAATCCAGCAGCTGCTCCTCCACAGAAAAATGGGCAATCTCTTCACATACAGTTTATAGCCTCTGAAAATCTGCTCGAGCATCAGCTGAGTCCATTCCAATTAAATGGCAACAAGTTGAGTTGGGTTGAGTTGAATTGGCTTGACTTAATTCTTATTTACTATAAATGTGTACATGGAACATTGCTAGATATTTTTCCCTCTCTTAATGTGACTAAAATCAATTGACTTAGACTAAGTTTCTACCTAAGTCCTATTTTCATCTCGTTTTCTTCAAGTTCCTAACTTTATTATTGCCTTTACTTCTTAACTCCCTCATAAAGTTAAGAATTGTATAACTGCCTCATTGCTCTTTACCTCTCATTCATACCATAACTCAAAATACAGGCTTCCACTATAGGGAGGGGTGGGTAAAGGAAACAGGAAAGATCCAGTGTGAAAAACAGTGTATACAAACTTTGTAAGTATACAAACTTTGTAAGTAAACCAACGTATACAAACATTGTGAGTAAAATTCTAATAAAAATTTTACTAAAAAAACACAGGCTTCCAACTCTACCTTTGGCTGTTTTTCATTTTTACTATCAAGACTTAGATCTTGGCCTATTGTCACTCATCTGATTTATGCAATAGTCCATTAACTGATTATCCAGCTTCCTGTTTTGTACCCCTCAAAAAACACCCTCCACCTTAACTTTGCTTCCTCAAAAATGTAATTCTCGTCATGTCATATTTTTATTTTAAACCCTAAGTGTTCTCCATTGCCCAAAAAGTCAAGTTAAAATTCCTCAGCATGACAATCAAGTTCCTTGGTCATCTGGCCTCCACCTGCTTCATCAACTTCATCTCCAACAGCTCTCTGCATTATATGAACTGGTAATAGTTTCCCAGTTAAGCCATGATGTTCCACCCTTTGTATTTTTGCTTACCTTGTTTCTGCTTCAGAAATATTTTTCCCTTGCCCATCCTTATGACCTTCACTCCACCTAGCTTCCCCCTTTTTTAAATTTTTTATTTTGTTATTTTTGTGTGTGTGTACCATCAAATCAGATCTGACTGGTACAGGAGGAGATTGCCCCTCCTTATCCAGCAGAGTATCTCCTTTTTAAAATTTTTTAATTTTTTTTTTTGTGTGTGTACATCAAATCGAATCTGACTGGTATAGGAGGAGATTGTCCCTCCTTCTCCAGTAGAGCATCTAGTGAATTCGAACCACTCACCTCTGGAATTACAGTGCAGCTTCTTACCTAGATTCCTCTTTTAAGAGTCAGTCCAGGGTGCTAGTGTCGGTAG